CAATAGAATGGAAGAGTCTCAAATCAAGCAAGATACCCATAGAAACTATGTGATAAGAAGAAGTGGTAGACAGTCTAATACAATAGTTTATTAAACAAATTAATAAAAGGTTAATGGTTCTATTATGGACATAGCAACACAGAACAGAGACAAAATGGCATCATCAAGTTCACAAGCATCAAACCTACTTATGGAATCTGGCATGGAACAGGTTAAAAGATGAAAATACATGGGATACCTCCTTCAAAAGCTCGCGGAGAAGAAATTTTCTAGTTAAATTGACCAATGATAAACTACTAATCTTAAGCAAGCTAGTAATAAGAAGACCAGACCTATACAAGCAAACAAGATGTATAGTATATAATTAGCATCAAGAAACAATATAATATTTATTAGAATGCCTAGTCATAAGATTGAGATCCTGGCAGTATAGCAAAAAGGAGTTGAGACTTTTCTTAAAGAATTCGATAAGTTGTATTAAGAATGTAAGAGAGAAGCGAATGAAAAAATGGTACAACTAGTAACTGACAATAGAAAAGAAAAAGATGAATTAGATAAATGGACCTCCAGACTAATAGAATCAGCCTCACAAACCAGTTCAAGCACTCTTAACTTTTGCGCAGGATTAGTAGAAAACAATGCAATTGAAAAAGCTATCAATCTAAACTGTTATGGAAAGAAGCTAGAAACAATAGTAAAAAAATGGATTCTAAAAGTATAAAAGAAGGTTTGTAACCAGATCCGAAAATAAGTCTGGAATGTGAGATGTGAAAAAATTATTGAATGGGAACAAGAACAAAGAATTAATAGAAGAGAAAAGTATAAGAAGGCCCAGGAAGCAAGAAGGCAAGATCCGTAAGATAATTCTGATTATAAAAGTACAAGGCAAAGAGAAGAAGTGAAAGAGAATGAAAACAAAAACATTGTAGAAATTGTAAGAAACAAGATTAGATATGGGATGAAGTAGTTGGGGTTTTGATTCTTGTCAAAATATCGTACAGTGATCCGCAGTAGTGACCTGCGGGTGATAATGTTAGAAGTTGGAAGGGTTTTCATCTAAACTACTAATGGAGCAATAAATCACTTCCGAAGTTGCACAAAGAGTCTTAGATAAATATAAGATGTTGATAAGTGAGTTAGTTAGAGATTTAACTTTAGCATTACATATATATTGTACAACTTACAATTGTTTAATAAAGCACATATAACTAACTTGACAGAGGGTTATAAAAAAAAAATTAAAATTAATAATATATATAATTTATTTAATAAAATTTTAAATTTTTATTTATATCAATATTTTTTTAATATTTAAATTAATATTACAAAATTTATTCAAAATATTTTTTATAATTTTATAATACTGTATATTACAAATTTTAATTTTTTATAATATAAATTTTTTACTTTTAAATATTTTAATAAGTATTTTTAAAAATAATTTATGAATTTTTTTTTATGGATTAAAAAATTTTTAATTTTAAATATACAATATAATTAAAAAATTTAGAACTTTGAAAAATAATTATATTATTTAAATAAAAATTTATATTAAATATAACTATTCTAAATTTTTCAAAATTTATATTTATTTCAAATTAATTATAAATAATATTAGACTATATTAGATTTTATGACTATATATTTAAAAATATAGATAAAAATAAATGAATATATAATTATATTAGACTATTTATAATTTATTTTAATTTTAAATACAATATAAAATTATTAAAAATTTTTTATATTAACTTTATATAGTAAAACTATATTAAAAACATGTAATCAATTTTTTTTTTTAACGCTGGTTGAGCTGGAACTTTATCGAAGAATTCTTATATAAGATGGAGAAAATAGAGTTTCTCTGAGACTATATATAAGAAACATTTAAACAAATAAAGTGTTATAATAGAAGAGCTCCTTTATGAAGACTTCACCTTGTGACCTGGTCACCTCTTGAAAAAAATTTCTTGAAACTATGTGAAACACTGAATAATCGACCTAAATTTTCTGTCCTGCTGACTATTTACCAAAGATCCCTATTGACCAATCTGACACCTTGCGAATTATTTACTAGAGTACTGTGTCTCTTCATCTTTGAAAGAGAGAGAGATGATGGAAAAGAGGGGATTACTTATCCAAAGACCTGGTGGATCCTATAGTTAAGGAGATACCTTAAAACCTTTGATGGTGTTGATGAATCCAGTCCTGTAAGTAGTATTATCTTCAAGTATTTGCTGCTTATTTAAGAAGGTGCAAAACTTTCAAAGATAAATTCAGCTTAAATAGGATTCTTCCATTCTGTCAAATATTTTTAACTAGTACTTTCACTATGAATAAGAATAGTGAGTACCACTGGCAGCTTTAAAGTCTTTTAAAGGGTGAGGTTCATCGAGAACCTTGGAATAGCTTTGGTTTCTGGTCCTTCAACAAACCATGGATCAGGAGTAAAAAACCCACCAGCTGGGAAAAACTTTCTGTTCATCTTGTTTGTTTTTTATAAGAGAAAGAACAGATCTTTACCTATCTGTAGAAGTGAAGAAAGCCTACTTGACTGCCAAGGGTAGGTGACTTCAATTCCAAAAACAATTGAAGTATCTTGTGATCTTTGCTATAATTGGATGAACTCTTTTCTGTTTTCTAAGATATGTTGAGTACTGTGTTTTTTATTCACTCACATCAATCTAGCAATGAATTATAGTGGATCTCAGGTTCTTATGAAGTTGAGAAAATGCATTCAGATACATAAAGTGACCAATGGAAGCTTGTTTATTTCTTTTACTAATGTGAGCTCTATTTGTTCAATCACAGTGTGAGAAACTTTGTGCTACTCAAAATTCAGGATCAAACTGAGGTAGGCAAAATTCCCTAGAAAAAATCAAGAACGAGCACTATGAGAAGTAAAACTAATAATAAGAGAGTAGGAAAGTTGTTTTTCATCATATACAGATTTTTGTGATATTTCTCTATAATGTGAGATGATGACACATCAGTTCTTTTTCCTTTTAAAACTTTTTTGCCCTTGGTAGGAAAGGTGTTGCTTGACTTTCTGGTCATTAGCAGTCAGGTTTTTGTTCAAAGAGAAGTATTAACAAGAAGGGAGTGTAGTAGTGATGACTCTTGAAGTTTTTTCAAGTTGGTTTAAGGAAAGTATTAAGACTTTATTAACATAGAAGTATGAAAACTTCTTGTGAATGTCTTTTTTGTGTATGGTTAGAGGATCAGCAGAAAAAGTTTTTGTCAAAAAAAATATGTAATCAATAATTTTTATATAAAGAAATAAGATATGAATTTTGTATATTTAAATAAATTATAATAAATCAAATTTTTTAAAACTTTTATATTATAAATTTTATATATTATAGATACTGTATATATTCTTTAATAATAAAATGTTTTTATTATCAAAATTAAAATATTATATTTTAATAAAATTTTGATTTGTTGTTTTGTAAATTAATTGAAAATTATAATTTTCAATTTGTATAATTTAATTGGTATATTGTATATAATTGCTTTCAAAAATTTGAGTTTATTTATTATATTTTATTATAAATTTTAATTTATCAATTTTTAAATCCATAATTATACAACCAAAAATTATATAATTCATATATATTATGATTAAATACTAGATTTGTTTTTTTTTGTTTTTTTTTTTTTCAAAAAGTTTATTATTATTTAAAAAAATTTTTATCTTTTAATAAATTTTTACTTTTAAATAATTTTAATTAAATCATAATAATACAGCAATTAATAATAATAAAAATAAAAATATTTAACAATAATAAAACTTTGAAAATTATTTATAAACTTTTTTAAAAAAAAAATATGAGAAATAAAACAAGTATTGGAATATGATATATATAAATTTTTTCAATTTAATTGCATAATTAAAGATTTAAAAATTGACAAATTTATAATTTATAATAAAAACATAATCAGTGAACTCAAAATTTTGAAAGCAATCATATATAGGTTATAAAATATTTTATGACTTTTTGATATCTTACCTCATTACTAATTTGTAAGTTAAAAATTAAGAATTTTAAATTTTGTTAAATTAACTAAAAAAGCAAAGATGTCGTATATAACTTATTTTTAATAATATCATTTATAGATTAAATATTTTTTATTAAAGTAAAATAAATTACAGGTTATCCATTCGATTTACCATAAGAATTACTACTTTTTGACAATTATAGTACCATGACAGAACGGGTTGCTGAGACCGATACGCGACGATCAGAATCCGACCCGAGAGTCAAATAATGAAGGCCTATTGAAACATGGCATGCGGCAAATAGTGAGATTAGAAAAAAACAACACGTATAGAAAAAAAGGTAATGGATACCACGATAAGGACAGATTTTAATAAAGATAGACAACGCCCCCAGCTTTGACATGCTCAAATGATATTATTATTGTGTTTTTATACAGGTATATGCGGGCAAAACCGTTCGCCAACAATAATAAGTTTACGGTTAAATTAGAATACGTTGCCTGAAAAGAGATATGATCTATTAATTATTTTAATGTAATTCTTATGTGCGTAACATTCCTTTTTTTTTTTTTTTTTTGTTCATTTAATGATATAATTACTAAATTCGACATAACTTAATAATCAGAGTTTGGTTATGGTCGCTGTAGTTCTGACACCATTTATATGATCTAGAATAGAATCTGCCAGCAAGAATGTGGTCACATTGCTGGATAAACTATTAAAACTGACGTCTGCGATCTTAACATTCCTTTGTGAGCAATAATAGATACCAGAGAAGTATAAATGAAAATGGTACGTATTGACGGAATATCTACAAAGGTTAAAAAATTTGTAATGTGGTTCGCAATGAAGAAAAAGTATATACGTAACCATATTTTTTTAAAAAAACGTATGTCATTGATCAGTTACTCCTCACGAGTTTGTGTGAATGACCATAACGTAAATAAATACCTTTTGTTCGCAAACAGGTTGCAAAACATTTCAATAGCAACGCGAGATGCTAATGGAATACATATATCCAAGTATATTGGATAATATTGACGGTCTCACCATAACATCCATTAGCGACGAAGAGGAGAACTATGAATCAGATTGTCGCGAAAAGGACGAAGACGAAGACTATTATTTCGAAGGTTCTTTGTTCGAGTCTTACCATCAACACGAAGAGAAAGAATACACCTATCTTCCGAAAGATGAATGTAAATATCTTACAGGGGACGAGAGAGTGGACACGTGCATTTTAGGGGATGATGATTCTCCACCCATGGTGTTCTGCCTCAGTTGTGAAAGAAAAAGACTTGATGAGTGTGAATGCCTTGATCTGGATGGTAATGATTATGTGCCAGAAGAAAAAGAAGTTCACGAAAATCGTTCGTTCATGTTTTGCGACGTCTGCAACAAAGAAGGTCATTTCATTAGAGATTGCCGTGTACATTTTTGGTCGTGTGAAAAAGTAAATCTCGCGAAAAAAAGTCGCCAAAAGGAAAGGAAAAGTAATGAAAAGCTCCTTTGCAATCATATGGAAAAGGTAGATTGGAAGACTATTGGGAGAGTCAACGGCCTTAGCAAGGAAAAAGAAACATTACAGACACCAAAAAAATTCATCAAACAGAAAACCCAGCAATTAAATGTCGCTGAAAAAAAGGGTAAAAATGAGATGAATAAGTGGAAGAGGAAAAGAAGGCGTCTTGCGAAAAAATATGGTTGATTGTGTAGCACCTGCTTCGGAGATCTATTATATAAAATTCATAATTTTCTCGACTTATACGTATACGGCCAAAAAAAAAAAATTATATATATCGGACTTTGAGGGTTAAAACGCAAAGTCATTGATTGGTCAATTACGTTACGGATACGCTGTGTAATGCCATTGTGGTGAGAGCAATTGCACGTATAATTTCATCATGTAAAATCTCATTTTTATGAGTGCACTGTTCAACGAAAGGTTACTTACGCTTTGAACTTTTAATCCTCTATATTGCACGTGCTAGCATATGGTGCAATGCTGACATAATGATTCGTAAATTCATATTGTCAAATTTTAACATAAATGCGTATTATTGACAAATTGTTAATAATAAAATTACACTATATTCAGTAAATAAAAAGTGTACGTCGCTGTATATACAGTACATATAATGTTTATTTATTTCTTATATTTTTTTTAAATAAATCACGTTCATTTGGTGAAAATATAATCGTTGGGATTGTTGGTATTTTTGCTTTCTCGAAGTAAAGTCATCATAATTAAGTTGTGGATACTTTTGGCAAATAAATTAAATTCTTTAAACTTGAACTCATCTTAATTTACTCTGCAATAAATTTCCATGGCATTTTATTATCGATCAATTTGGATAAGATGTTTTCTTGCTATTATATAAGTTCCTGTGGTCATTAAATCGACGCGATCGAATACAACCTTCGATGATCGGGCGCGCGCGCGACGATCGGGTGCACAAATAAGCAAATTTCGAGTCCGATCGCACAAAAAAGCGAGATATGAGGAACCCCAGAGATAAATCCCGGATTGAGAAGAGGTATAGAATTGGTGAGATGAAAAACAAAAAACACGGGTCCAAGATGGGAAAGTTGAGAAGTAAGCAATAAATCTTGTATAAATAATCATGATAGAAGAATATGGAAGAAGGCGTTCACTGATCAATAAGATAAACTTACCAAATCCTGCTATATTCTCATAAATTAGACAATATGTTATTGTTGTTATGAGCTGTCGGCAAATCAAGGGCTGCACTCACGTAATCCATGGATCACAGAAAAAGCAAAGAAAACCTGTGAACTTTGTTCGATCAATCGAAACTTTCCAATATGGAAGGTCATATTACGTAATTAGTAATGAAACCACTTCGATTCCCACTATTCTTTATGCATGCGCCGAGAATGTCACGGGGCGGGCATGCTTGTCCTTTTCGGCCTAAATCACGCATTAACTTTGCCCCTGATGTTACAAACACGGATTAAATTAAAGAATTAATTCGAATTTTATTTTTCAACTTAAAATTTTATGTTTTATTAAAACTCCAAATCTTGAATTTAAATTACACCATAAATCTCAAACCCAAGTTCTAGCGCAATTCTTATAATCCTCATTTTTAATGGTAAACCTTTTCCCCCGTGCTTTTGCTATAAACGGTGGAAGCAATCAATACCTTATAATTAATTTAACATGTCGACAAAGATATTAATAGACACGGAACATTTTATTTATAAATTAAGGAATCACCTGTAATGTGGCGTGGAAAAGCCCCAATTAAATGTCGAGCGATTTACCAGACCAAGTTTGATCGCCGGCAATTACGCTTAGAAAGTAGCCAGGGTGACTATAAATAGGAGGAATGTGTACGTTTCATATTCCATAATTTTCTAGAAAACAAAATGGTCAAGGAAGAAACAAAAACTCTTGAACATAATGCTGGATCGAATCAAAGAAAAAGATTTATATCCATAGGAATTATGATGTTTGTCGAGGTTGTCCTACCTATCATTCTCTACTATATTCTCGAAGGACATTTGCCAACCATCTGGGCCTTGGTCATTTCAGGTGTACCTCCGCTTATCGCGGTTATCTTTGGCATTGTTCGTCATAGACGTGTTGACATTACCGGTGTACTTGTCATCTTCAGTTTTGTCATTGGAGCTGTGGTAGCAACTGTTCAAGGAGATCCGAAGTTATATCTGCTACGCGAATCGTTTTTCACGGGAGTCATTGGCCTGGTGTTCCTCATCACTCTGATTCCATTTAAATTTGGTTCCTTCCAAATGCGACCCATTGTATTCTACCTCGCTAAAGATATGCAGACAGGTGGAACTTTTAGTTCGGGCGACAGAACTCAAGCTTCGACTGATGAAGAAACAATTGCCGAAAGTTGGGAAAGATATTGGGGATTGTACCCGAAATTTCGAGAGGGATTCATTATCATGACAGCAGTCTGGGGTTTGGGATTACTTTTAGAGGTTGTTTTGCGTGTTATCATTATCTTCGAAACGTCAACGGTCGATCAGGCTGTTTACATTGCAGCCATTGTGACTTATAGCTGGATCGCCCTTTTGGTAGTATTCACCATTATTTATTCAAGATGGATGGCTAAGCAAGGCCAAAAAAGACGACTGGAGATGATCTCCAGCCAGGAACAACATGGGTGACTCAAAAGTGATCGTCGTTGTGTAAAGTATTTTAACCAATAAAATGTTTATTCGTTTCGAGTGGGGGCAAAGATCGAGATCAATGCTTCAAACCAGGCTTATGGCGACAAATTAATGTTAAATTTAATTATTTAAATAGATTACAAAAAATTTCAATCGCTAGAAACAGTGTCAGCCACAACGGTGGGTAACCATTCTTTCTAAGCCTGAAATTTCGCAATTTATCGTATTGTGTTGTGCATACCGTACGTACGTACTGTGTTTAAATTATGTAGGCACAGTGCTGTACTACACATCATATTTCATAATTTTCCGAAGAAAGAATATATTGTGCGCGTGTTTAATTTATGGAAGTCAAGATATTGTTTCTATGCTATTCGTCTTACTGTTTGTCTTGCTGCTTGTCTTACTGTTTGGCTTGCTATTTAACTTTTCATTTGAGCCAGCGTTAGATTTACGAGCGCAAACGCGAGTCAGATAGTTAAAGGTGTCGAATTCTTTTAACTCTTTGGCCATTGTGCTTAGCATTTCATCGTATTCTTCCGGCGTTACTTTCAGAATCGGTACAAGAAAAGCTTTAACGTCAGCCATTCCGGTCATAGTATTCGCCACAGACTATAAGGATTAAAGATTTTCGAATACGGTATGATCAAATGATTTGACGTACAACGTTGAATCTTGGAATGTTAAGATTTAATTACCGTTTGGCCTAGTTTCCCAGCTTTAGGACCATATGACATTTCGTTTTCTTGTTGGTTGACATCTTCAAGTTGATCGTTCTCCTCGAGAAGTGATCGCAACTTGTAAACAATTTTCTGGTCGGCCTTTCGAGCCATAAGCAGGGTATCAACTGAATATACATACGCGCACGTACATGAGTGATTGATGTGAGAAAACATTTTAAAAAGGAAAAAAAAAATGCCGGGTCAAATGTAAATAAAAGTCAATTTACCAGCACCAGTTAGTTGAGACGTGACCGGACCCATCTTATGTGTTGGTCCGATTTCCGAGAGCTTCAAACAATAACATGATTAATACGTAAATCCGAATAATTGGTGTACACGCAATTAAGGGATACTTACCTCCAAGTAACCACCGGGCTTCAAAACGCGGGTTAACTCGGCAATAACACTGGGCCAACTTTCATAAGGAATCGCGGTAAACAACAAACGTTGAAATACAAAATCGAAGGTGTCATCTTCAAATGGTAATCCGACCAAAACGTTTGCACAAACATACGAAACATTGTGAGGTTTGATTCCAGAAGGTTGGACGACGGAAATATCTACTCCTGTGAATTCGACCTTTGGATAATCTATTGCCATCTCGAATATCCAGGAGCCCGCACCGCAGCTTTCGTTTGCATGAAAAAAAGGTTATTGACGGATTTATCGTGAAGATTATGCAAATTACATAATTCCATCTTACCCCATGTCAAGGACCTTGGAACCTTTGCAATTCAATTTGTCTTGAACAGGTGCAAAAAAATTACCCTGCCAAATGTACCTGAGCAAGAAGTGTTGCATGTGCAACCTATCTAATGAATCGTCATCGTTTGGAATGAAATATTTCGAATTTTGATCATTGTGATATCTTCTTCCCTCAATATACCGAAATTCAGGAATTGGATCTTCATCTGGAAACTCGGGTATTGTACTTTTACTCTTTCTTCTTTTCGGATTCTTACAAAGATTATTTCCCATAACTCTGGCAGCAGCGCACGGAACTTGAACAATGATTTGGGATTTGCGATGATTAAATAATTCCCTCCTTTACATCAATTTTGGTTCTATCAAGTTTTTCAGAAAAAAAAACCAAGAATCTGCGTGTAATGATGGATTCGTAAAATTCGATATTTAAATTCCACGAATATATGTACCATAAAATTCGTACGTACTTAATTTAATCTGACCAATTTTTGGTGCGATGAGCATCGATATATGCAATGCACTCACTAAGAGTTAATGCACAAACCTTTCCGGGATCAGTCCGTGAAAATCGTGGCGTGCAATGTAAAAATGAATTTGAAAAGATCATTGTGGTACTTTGAAAAAGAATTGGCGCCTTGCGAGAGTCAATGTATTTTTCTAGGGTCCACCTCTTGTACACATTCAACCCGCCGAACCGAAATACATCCGGGTCATTAGTAAAAAAAAAAAAAAAAATAAATATTCGAGTTTTCTTTTGTCATTCTGCGTATTAGTGTCAATGGGACATTTAAACACTCTTTTTTTTTAAGTAAATAATTCAGTTCATTAATTTTTTCATCTTACAACGTTCTGAATATCGATGCCATGAAATGCAAAAGAAATGAAACATCGAACACAATGTGTCGGCTACAAACAAAGATGCAGAGAATGTTAAATCCATTACATTCGAACAGAACGAAGAGAAAATATGTTGTAACCGTGACAATGAGGTTCGGGTCATTTCACATACATATCGTTGATCGTTCACGATCGTACATTCGAGATTCTCCAATTAGATATTAGCCATCATTACATACATCAGATAAATGAAAATTACGTAATTGCATTTTTATTTGTTAGACATTCGGAATAAAATTTTGGGCAATCGTGGTTAGATGAAAGGATTAAGGATTTCGATTCATGTAATTTACAATCAATGTTTTCTTTAATATTATTACCATATTTGTCATGTTTTTTCCTATTTGCTATTTCAAGAAATTACGCTGTGTAAGATAAAGAAAAGCAAAACAAATATTTTTTATTTATGTTTTGCTGTATCTTATGTTTTATTTATTTTTTTTTTTTTTTGAGATTAGCTATTTTAGTGCGCTGAGAAAATTTTTTTCGAAGATACGTTAGCAGGGTCGCCTTGTTATTAATTGCGTTTTTTCGAATAAAAAAAAAAAAGGATGTCACTCGTAATATTATTACCTACGTATAAAAACACAAATGGACATGTACCGTGTATAGTGTATGATATAAAGAATGAACTTCATTTGCTTCTATGAACTTTGGAATGATTTGATTTTTCAATTGTTTTTAATGAAAAATCCTAAATGAGACGAATACATATTTTTCATTTAACAAATAGGTTCATCGAAAGATTAATTTTTAACTTATTCATTTATTCATTTATTATCGAGATATACACCCACCGTATATCTATATATCTATATATTGTATAATTGGTCTAGTAAAAATGTTTATTCAAGCATGCATTTGAAAAACCCATTTGACTTTATAATAAACTTATCATGATTTCCTATATGCCATAACACTAGTCAAAAAAATATTTATTCGCATATCACTTGTGTAACATTCATCAAAAAAAAAATAATTTGACAAATTAATAGCATAAATACTATAAATCATCAATTGATTCATTTCTACTATATAATTTGGTATAAATAAATTATCAATTCATTTATATTATATAATTTAACATAAAAAATTATTAATATATATATATATATATATATACTGTATATATATACTTTTTTAAAACCACAACTGGTATTAGATGCAAGATTTATTAAAGAATTAACTAAATTGAATGGATAATTAAATCCTACAGCAGTTACATCAATCATCTTCTACAAACTATATATTTCATATCCATATAGCTTAGCTTAGTGATAACCTATTACGGTTTACCATAGATGAATCTATCACTCTGTGAGTAGGCAGACCCATCTAAGGGTCGGATGATCAAATACACAGTTATCAATGGTGAGTCAGGCTAATTTAGTAGTGAGCTTTATAAATTTTTGTATTATATTCATTAAACTAGGTTATTATGTATGTACCCGATGAGATTTGAATCACCCTTCAATACTCCCAGATATAATATTCGCTCAGACCTCAGAAAGGGCACTTTTCTTCTTTATCACCACTTGTGGTATCAGATCAATCCCATGTGACTGATTTTCTTTTAAGTGGAGCACCAGATTGAAATATCCTAAGCTAGGAGGGCATGGATTCTGGAAGCTGCCAAGACAGGGAGTCATTGAGGTATTTTTTATGGTAGGCTAGATCAGAAGTCTTTCTTCATGCAATCCTTTCAGTGGTACAATCATAGATCTCAGCTCTTGATTGATGAAAGGTCAGAAGTCACATCTTCATGCAGTCTAACCTGATTAGAACTTGTTCTGGATGATTGGGTACGACTTTTACAGAATAATTGATAAAACCTGATCAAAAGAATAATTTTTGATTTTTGGTCCTTAAGTGGTATTGAATTATAGACCTTGTGATAGTAACCTGAAAGTATTACATCTGTGCTATTGACCCATAGGTCTATTATTATTATTATTATTATTATTATTTTTAACTGGCGAAGTCCTGCCATTGAGTTTTTATTTATTCATTAATACA